CTAGAGTAAATCTCATTGCTCCAAGGCCTATAGAAGCTAAAGCTATAGCTGCATATAGAACTGAGAACTGAACCCTTGATGGAGCTTGGCATAAGCTTGATCCAGTGTCACATGGTGGAGGCCTCAAGGAGCTAATTGATGCTGTTAACGTCAGGAGAGCCACTCCCTGCATAGGAAAAATGGTGATTAATTTCAGAAGAGGAAGAAATTAATCCATTCACGAGTGTCAACTTACTACGGTAGACTCTTACCAGCAAAGAGAAACAGGAAGAAATTGCAACCACAGAGAAGGATCCCAAGAAAGAGTCAGCAAGAATTGTTGAAATGATGAGAAGCAGATTGACGCCACCAGTGACAACATTTGTAATCTGAGTAGCATCGATACTCTTCACATTGAACTCCTCAATCAGATACACAATCAAGTTTGTCAACCATCCCCAACCAGCCAGCATCAATCCCGTCAGGGTTGCCTTCTGTTAGCGTGTGAGATCAAGTCTCTTAATGTGGCAGTTACAATTAGTTTATTTTGCTTAGTGGTGTAGTAGTTTCTTTTGCAGTTTGTAACTTCTTTTCATTTCAGCAACTGTTATGTATAAGTTTCTTTTCTTTGAAACTGATGTGTGTATGTCCGCTACAGTTTTTCTGTTTTTCTGCAAATGTATCAGTTACTGTTCATGTATTTCAGCAGTGTTTTATGAATTTTCATCATTTCTCAAGTTTAATCCTTGAATTTATGTTCATTTTCACTTGAGTTTTCATCTTTACATCATCAAATTGGTATCAGAGCTTACAGTTCTTGAGGGATCTGTGAGAATCTTAGAGAGGTGTGAGAGAGTGAAACACGAGTGACAAGTGAGGGAGAGAATCTTGCTCTTCTACAGCATTTCAGAATGTCTTCTTCTTCAACAAATTCATTTTCTTCTCCTCCAATGTTCAAAGGAGAGAATTATGATTTCTGGGCTATTAGAATGCAAGCCTTTCTCAAAGGGAATGATGTTTGGGAAGTCATCGAGCATGGTTTCCAACTTCCTTTTCCACAGGAAAACCCAACAGTGGCACAAATGAAGAGAAACGCAGAGTATAAGGCAGGTACATATAGAGCACTTTCTTTTCTGCATAGTGCAGTGGCAAATGATATTTTCCCCAAAATTGGATCCTGCCAAAATGCACAAGAAGTCTGGGAAGCACTTAAAGAAGAGTATGAGGGGAGTGCTAGAGATAAAAGTGTGACACTATTAGCTCTCAAACGAGAGTTTGAAATGTTGAAGATGAAGGAAATTGATACAATACATCAATATTCTTCAAAATTAGTTGATTTGGTCACTCAAATTCGAATGCAGGGAGAGAGATTTCCTGATTCATGAGTGGTCGATAAGATGTTGGTTAGTCTTCCTGATAGATTTGAACCTAAAGTTGCTGCAATTGAAGAGTCTTGTGACTTGAGCAGGCTTTCCATTAAAGCACTCACTCGAAAATTGCAAGCTCATGAAAAAAGACTTACAATGAGATCTGACAAAAGTGTCGAAGAAGCATTTCAAGCTAAGCACAAGGGGAAATATTCATTTGCAAGTTCAGATTGGAAGCAGGAAGCTAATAAAGTGGAGAAAGGTAAACAACAAGTTGAATCTTCTGGAAATTTTGACAAAAAAGACAAATTTCCCTCCTTGTCCAAATTGCAGGAGGACAAATCATCTTGAAAAAGACTATTGGCACAAGGTAAAGCCAAGGTTTTATTGCAAGAACTACAAGAAATATGGCCATACAGAAAAATTTTGCAAGGCTAAACAAGTGCAGTACAAGCCAAAGCAAGTGCAGCAGGCTAATTACACTGAAGATTAGAATGAGGAAGATTATATGTTTGTGGCTATGCACAATTGTTTTGTGACTTCAGAGGATTCATAGTATGTTGAAAGTGGCTGTACAAATCATATGGTCAGAGATGTGAAGCTGTTTACAAAGCTAGACAAGTTTATTCGAACAAGAGTTAGACTTGGCAATGATTATGTAGTGCAAACAAAAGGCAAGGGTAATGTCTCAATTCAAACTAAGGAAGATATTAAGACTATCTCTGATGTTTTGTACATTCCTAGTTTGAGTTAAAACTTGCTGAGTGTCGCACAATTAATGATGCATGGATATTTTGTGCATTTTAAACAAGATGTATGTCAGATTTTTGATGTGCATGGTTCTAAGGTTGCTAATGTGAAAATGGTTGATAATATCTTCCCTCTAATGTGGAGTAATGTTAAGCAGCATGTTCTTATTTTTAAAGAAGATAAGACTAACTTATGGCATAGGAGATATGGTCACTACAATGTTAGAACCTTGAAGTTTTTGCAATCTTCATAGCTTGTAAGAGATTTGCCAGAAATTTATGTTTGTAATGATGTATTTAAGAGCTGTCAAATTGGAAAAATTCATAGAACAGCTTTTCCCACAACTAGGGCATGGAGAGCAAGTCAGAAACTTGAGTTGGTGCATATTGATTTATGTGGTCCTATGAACACACTTTCTCTCAGTCAAAACAAATATTTTCTCTTGTTTATTGATGATTTGACTAGAATGACCTGGGTGTATTTTTTGTCTAGCAAGTCACAAGTATTCTCTATTTTTAAAAAATTTAAAGTGCTTGTTGAGAAGCAAAGCGGCTGCCAACTTAAAACCTTGAGGTCAGACAATGGAAAGGAATATACTTCCAAGGAGTTTGATGTTTTTTGTGAAGATCATGGTATAAATCATCAATTAACAATGAAGTATACACCACAGCAAAATGGTATTTCTGAGAGAAAAAATAGAACAATGATGGGAATGGCTAGAAGCATGCTTTTTGAGAAAAATTTGCCTAAGAAGTTTTGGGCAGAGGCAGTGCATACTGCTATTTATTTGCTGAATGGTCTTCCAACTAGAGCTGTTGAAGGTAAAACTCCTATTGAGGCTTGGTTTGGACTTGAGCCTTCAGCTTATCATTTGAAGGTTTTTGGTTCTATATGTTATATGCATGTTCCAGCAACTAGAAGAACCAAGTTGGATGAGAAAACTGAGATGGGAATTCTAGTTGGTTATGCAGCACAGTCAAAGGGGTACATAATTTATAATTTGTAGTCTCAAAAAGTGAAAGTGCATAAAGATGTTTTAGTTGATGAATTTGCTTTTTGGAGCTAGGATGATCAGAAAATTATTAAGGAGTCTACTTCTCAGTTAAATGAAGACTTGAATGTTGAACAAAGTACAACTACTACTTCTAGACACCAAAATGCTGCTGAAACTGATGATGACTCACCACCTTGGAAGGTAAAGTCACTTGAGGATGTGTATGCTAGGTGCAATTTGGCTACTTCTGATCCAACTTGTTTTATTGAGTCTTCAAAACATGATGAATGGATGGCTGCTATAAAAGAAGAGCTAGCTATGATTGAAAAGAACAAAACTTGGTCGCTTTGTCCTAGACCATAAGGTAAAAATGTGATTGGGGTTAAGTGGGTTTTTAGAACAAAGCTTAATCCTGATGGTTCAATAAATAAGTATAAGGCCAGATTAGTGGTGAAGGGATATGCACAGCAGTAAGGAGTAGATTTTTTTGAGACTTTGGCACCTGTCACAAGGCATGATACTATCAAACTGTTGTTTGCTATTTCTGCTCAAAATGGTTGGAAGGTTTGCCATATGGATGTGAAATCTGCTTTTTTGAAGAAGAAATCTATGTTAAGCAACCAGAGGGGTTCCTTGTTCATGGAAGTGAGGATAAGGTTTACAAGCTTCATAAGGTTCCTAGGGCCTAGTATAGTAGGATTGATGCCTACTTAATGCAACAAGGTTTCAGGAGGAGTGAAAATGAAGCTACTTTGTACGTGAAAGACACAAATGGTGATGTACAACTTCTGGTTTCACTTTATGTTGATGATTTTCTTATTACAGGTTCTGATGTTCAAGCTATGGAACATTCTATGCTTGTTATGAAGAAAGAGTTTGACATGTCAAATCTTGGAGAAATGAGTCACTTTCTTGGTTTGGAAATCAAACAATGTGGAAATGGAATTTTCTTGTCACAGCAAAAATATGCACAGGATATGATGAAGAAATTCAATATGAAATATAGTAAGTCAATTTCTACTCCTCTTGTTTTGAACTGTAAAATGTCAAAAAATGATGGTAGTGCTTATGTTGATGCATCTTGGTATAGAAGTATCATTGGTAGTTTGCTTTATCTCTCTGCTACTAGACCAGACATTATGTTTGCTACTAGTCTTCTATCTAGATTCATGAGTTCTCCTACTCAACTTCATTTTGCTGTTGCGAAAAAGGTGTTGAGGTATGTGAATGGTACTTCAGATTATGGACTTTGGTTTGAGAAAATTGATTCTGGTTCTTTGGTGGGGTACTCTGATAGTAACTTGGCAGAGAGCATAGATGACGCTAGAAGCACTTCTGGTTACTTATTTCAGTTTGGATCATGTGTGTTTTGCTGGAATTCTTGTAAACAAGAAGTGGTTGCCCAATCTACTATTGAGGCTGAGTATATTTCAACTATGGAAGCTTCAAATCATGCGATATGGTTGAGGAAAATGCTATCTGATATAGGGCAATCTCAGTTTGATCCTAGTTTGATTTATGTGGACAATACATCAGGTATTGCAATTGCTCAAAATCCTATGCAACACAAGAGGACTAAGCATGTTCATGTCAAGTATCATGTAAGGCAGTACATCAAGAACAAGCAAATTCAATTGCTTCATTGTAGTTCAAATGTACAACTCGCTAATATTCTTACTAAGTCTTTGTCAAAACAGAGGTTCAAGATGTTAAGAGAGCAGCTTGTACCAAACTTGCTCTCAAGGAGGAGTGTTAGTGTGTGAGATCAAGTCTCTTAATGTGGCAGTTACAATTAGTTTATTTTGCTTAGTGGTGTAGCAGTTTCTTTTGCAATCTGTAACTTCTTTTCATTTCAACAACTGTTATGTATAAGTTCCATTTCTTTGAAACTGATTTGTGTATGTCTGCTGTTGTTTTTCTGTTTTTTTGCAAATGTATTAGACACTGTTCATGTATTTTAATAGTGTTTTATGTATTTTCATCATTTCTCAAGTTTAATCCTTGAATTTATGTTCATTTTCACTTTGAGTTTTCATCTTTACATCATCACTTTCATCACAACAAAAAAATACAATTTATTAGTGTTGGAATTATTATTAGAAATGTGGCATTCAAATCTACAAAAATGATGAAATGAAACTGCCATGGCAGCAATGATGCTGAAAATTGACAGCAAATCAAGCAGCAATTTGACAGCAAATGAAGCAGCAATTTGACAGCAAATATGGCAGCAATTTAGCTGCAAATATGATGGAAATGAAGCTGTCAAATGACAGCAAAAATGTGCAACAAGCTAAGTTGCAAATTTTTGATGAAGATGAAGATGCAATGAACAGTAAAGGAAATGCAAATGCAAAAGGAATACAAATACAAATGAAATGAAAGGTTGCAAAGTGGTTACAGAGCTGCCAAAGGACGCAAGCATGTAGCAAAAGTGACTGTTACCTGTTCAAATTTCAAATGTAATTTTATTGATTTTTATGTAGATTAGTTGTTTAGAGAAAATACAAAAGTTTTTGAATTTTGAATTGTTTTAAAATTTGTATTCCCTTATATACAGGAGAGTTTGTTAATGAGAAAATTTGAGTTAGAGCGTTATACTCCTCTAAATTTTTAGTTTATGTTCTGCTCTTCATCTTCCTCCCGATTTTCTCTCCATTACTTTGTGAAAAAAACCAACAATTAGTACAACAAAGTCCTGCATGCTGCTGTGCAACACCAGTTCCATGAGATAGAGGTAGAAAGAGACCTGCAATAAAGGGGAAGGTGATCCAGCCACCACGTTTGCCCCCTGGAACGTGACATCCCGGTTTCTCGGTCCAAAGATGGTTGCAACTCCATGCTTGGCATTTTTGAGTTCTGGTTGAAGTTTTCTTGTTAACAGTACTCATTATATAACACAGAAGTACTTATTCTAATATGCCCTGGAGACATAAAATACAGTATTGAATAAGAATTTTTAGGCAGGTGTTGACAATCACAGCCAACAATACCAAAGGCTTCCATTCTTAACTTCATGAATATGAATTTAAACTCAGAAAGCAAAAGAAACAGAACTTTTCCTAATGTGATATGAATATGATAATGCCAAATTGCCAATGCCTGTGGACCTCAGGGAGGTGCAACCACCATCAGCAGTAGGCCTGTGGAAGACGAAATTTTTAGTTGGCATAATATTTGCCTATAATATCCTTTTGTTCAAACACAATTGGTACATTACAATCTGAAACTTGTTCCAAATTCACGGTAAACCAAGAAGACTATAATACCTACATCTCACTTTCAGCGCAACCTAATATAATATAAACTATAATTTACATGGTCGGGCTGTTGAGATGTCAATGGGAAGTTTGAAAATCTTATGTAAAAAGACCAAGAGTTTATCTAAAATAATAATAATCTAAAATATATAAGCACAACTTGTCTTAAACAAAGCAGAACAAACACATGACGAAGTTGTTTACTGTTTTTGTTTTGGACCAATGCAGAAAATGTTAGTTGGGGTTGAATTGAAATGAGTAAGAAGGCGGGAATGGGAAGAGAATGACAGTCATTTAATGTGAAGAATAGCTTTCAAAGTGGTCCCGTCCCATGAAAGTCTCACTTTATCTCTGCAAAATGCAAATAAACGCCATCACAGGATTAGGATACTCGGATTGAAGCAAGAATGAGTTTCCATGGCCGACTCAATTTTGTCCAGAGACAACGGTTGAAGGAAAGAGGTGATCAGGCCATAGCCAGGCGGAAGCAAACTTATTGAATTTTGGGCCATGAGAAAAGTGAAAATTATATTTAAAATGCTAGAAGTGCTCGTGAAATTATGAAACTTGTTGCATCATTTTTATTGCCTCAGCAAGAAGTGTGAATTGATATTCATGTCCACTTGTCTAAGGTTGCTGTAATCAATAGAAGTCTGAAATTATAATTTTGAAGGCAAGAGAAAAAGGAAATCATCGTAAAATACATGATTATAAAATTTGATTAAAGTAAAACTAAAATACATAGCTTCCCTGCTAATGATGGCTTGATCCAATAACAAAAGAGCGTCGATCTATTTTGAGAGGTTTTGCAATCATGCACGAACCAGGCTGAATGAAGATGGTTTAATAACTATTCTTTGATTCATGAATCATGATGCATTTCATAAACAAACCTATGAGATTCTTGAGCTGTAACTAAAGTGGATTTACTAGATGAGCACTAAGATACAGACAAACTTATTCTAGCTTCTTTCCTTTTACTCTCTTCATTCATTTTTCTTCTCAAGGTTCAACCTTCTTGAAGGCTAAAACATATGGTTCAACCTTCTTGCCTTGTTTCTTCATTGTCCTCGTTTACAGATCGAGCCATTTCCTCTTCAATATTTCTGTATCTGTACAACCAAGAGCACA